CTAAAACTGTTAGATAAATTTGTTATGTCTGATTCCAGAAGTGAGTTTACCTTTGGCTAATCATTTTAAACTTTCTAATGATCAATGTCCTAAATCACAAAAAGAATTTGAAAGAATGGCAAGAGTATCTTATTCTAATATAGTTGGGTTTGCAATGCACTTTATGTTTTGTTCTAGACCAGATTTAGCACATTATATAAGTGCGTTGAGTAGGTATATGTCAAAGTCTGGCGAAGCTCATTGGAAGCCATGAAAAGGATTCTTATATACATAAAGGATACCTTTGATTTAGGAATTCTGTTCAAAAAACAATGTGAAGGTGTTGTGTTGAGAGGTTACACTGATTCAGATTATGCTGGTGATAGAGACAATAGAAAGTCCACTTCTGCCTACATGCATACATTGTATAATTCTTGCATAAGTTGAAAATCTCATCAACAAAAGATTGTTGCCTTATCTTCTACTAAGGCAGAATACATAGCTGCCATAGATGCCATAAAAGAAGGGATATGGTTAAAGGGCTTGTTAAATGAATTTATTAAAGAAATTATTCTTTATTTAGATAGTAAATCTTCAATTCATTTAAACAAAGATCATGTTTTGCATATTAGATCTAAACATGTTGATATTAGTGATATGATCCGTGTTATACACCAAACTACCGAGAATTTGATTATTGTTGGAAGAAAGCCAAGAGCAAAGTTTAAGTTTAATTCTAGTCAACAAGCCATGCAAATTAAGTGTTTGAGCTAAGATCGAGACTTGAAAGTAGTTGATAAAGATGGTCATTTATATGTTCAAATAACCAAGTCCAACATCATGAAGATAACAAATTCCATGATTGGCGGGAAGAGACTATGTGCAAAGTCGAAGTTTGATCAAAGCCAATAAAATCATGCAATTAAGTGTCAAGGTTACGGGGTCCAAAATAATGAAGTTTACATGTCAAGGAGTAACTTTCATGTTGGGTTTGAGAGACAACGAGAATTTGATTCAAAGTTTTGGACGATATATGGAAAAAACAAGCAGCGTGGATTAAAACGGGCATAACTTTCAGCTCGAATGTCGGATTTTCGCCCATGAGTACAATCCAAAATCATCATGAAATTCTGCACATGAAAACGTTGTGTTGAAATTTAATACTATGCAACCACATAGTATAAAAGCCACGCAACCACAGAGACCATTCCCGAGACCAAATGGAAGGGTTTCAAATGAACTATGCGATTGCATTGGATTACATTATGCGATTGCATGGTGTATTTCGAGACGCGAAGTTTCCTTTTCTCGTGAATTACCTAATTTCCATGGGATTCTATTTTATTCAGCGTTTTATAATCTTGGAAGGATAATTTTCGTATTAAGCTAAGGTTTTAGAGTCCAATTTCTTTCCGAACTAGTTTTTAGGTTTTAATATAAATAGGACTTTATTTCACATTTTAACGAGACTTTTCATATGAATAGAAATTGAGGTTTTCTCATGAAGTTTTGCTTTAATTTTCCTTGTTCTTCAATGGAAAAATTATCGAACTTATCAAGGGATTAATTTTCTTGTGGTGTTCAAAACAATTGGATACAAATTACAACACGTGTAAGCAAGGGGTTTTACAATCTTTGTTATTGTAGGATTTTTTGGTTCATTATTTTGGAATTCAAATCCACAAATCCGGTTAGATTTTGAGGCATTTTGATCGAGAGGTCGTTGTTAAATATACCTTTGGCTGCTTAGTTCATCGTTTAAAAGTTAAATCTTAAACTTTGATCGTATTTGGGTATTCTTAAGATTCTGTGTCAATAACCTATGGATTCGATAGCTACCGTGCTAACCGGGTTCGGATCAATTAGATTTCATTTTATAAGAGATGTTATTTCACAAGGTGTTATAAAACTTGAAAAGATTTCAACCCAGTTCAATCCTGCTGATGTTGGTACAAAGGTTTTGCCTTTAAACAAATTTTTGGATTGTTTAAATCTGTTGAATATTAATACTTGCTAATTTGTCAGGTAATAAGTGCAAATGATACCATGTCTGGAGATATTACTGCATGTAAACTGGGTCATTGTACCAAGGTAGAGATTGTGAAGAGATGACACAATGATGTGGATCCTTTTGCAGACTGGATGGTTTTATTATGGCTATTGACTTGTCTGACTCAATTTAATTGGAGATAAAACACGTTCACAAAAACACTTTTGTTAATGGAGCAAATGATCTGGATTATGCCATGTGTCACGATCACTATCATTGGATGGTGATCTACTAGAGACTTCTCATATATACGCGTCTATTGGCTTCTAGGGTTTCAGTCCGTTCACTTTCTTCGTCCCTTGAGTTTTCTCTCTACAGTTTTTCAAATTTTTCCTCATACACTTCGAGATTTTTCTGAGTGTCATGAATCCTTTCCTCATAGTTTGTATTTAGAACTTGAAGATCCTAAATCTTCAAGTGGAAATCTTGTATAATTTGTCTTGAGTGATTTGTATAATAATTGATTTATTGTCTGGTTCTTGAGTGAACTATCCAGACGATTTGTGAGGGTTTTCTGTAAACTTGAGTATTCTTCTAGCTTGATTTTCGAATTTGTCTATTTGGATGGTTCATTGGTTCTAGTTTAATGCAGTAATTCTTCCGATGGTGGAAGCACAAAAGGGAATTAGGAGCTTGCTCTGAACCTCTTGCTTTAAAGCGAAAAATTCTGCGTTCTTTCTATTTTTTTGTTTCTTGCACATTTATATTCTGCTATTTTGTTGTAAAATCGTTTGATGATTTGAACTTGCTCTTAACAACTATAATACTACTTGACATGTACTGGGACTAAAGATGGTGGACCCGACTTCACTAAGATTTCGGTCTTATAAATTTTTCTTCTGCTTCTTGATTTCAACGGGGTTGGTGAAAGACATTTTTTTTTTAGATTTTCAATTTTTTCATTGCCTTTCATATTTGTCATGGACCCACTTTGTGTTTGGTTTCATTCATTTTTTAAGCGTTTCTAAAATATGAATTTGTTTTGTAAATACAGAAGTTTATGAGTTGTTTTAAGTCCTTTAGAAAGCACGAACAGCCAAGCATAATTTTTTTAAAGTCCTACTAATAGAAAGCGATTCCTAGCGTTCAAAACCTAACCCAATGCTACCTAACTTTTATACCTTTAAGTTTAATAAAGAAAGGTTGCAATACATGACATATACAGAGCCAACCCTGAGATTTTGGATGCATTGTGTGAGATTTTAAAATTATGCCCCCTTCAAGTAACTAAAGCATATATTAAAAAAATATATATTTCAACAATATTATTTCATTGCAAAAATATGATATTTAAATATTTTCATTTTATATACATAAACAAGAGAAATATAAATAAAGCTTAAAAGCATCTTTCGAACTTCATCAAAATTCATATTTCATCAACAAAGAACCATCCAAGCCACTAGTATCGTCATGCAATTCTATATAAGCAAACCTTGAAATATATATATACCATCCAAGTCACTGACCTCTTCTTGCAATTCCATATAAGCAAACCTTGAAAAAATATGTATATCAAGTGTAAAGCTTTAAATGCAACAAATCATGTAAAAATATGGGGAATTTACCAAAATGTCACTTTTTTTGAAATTGCACTAAAAACTTTGATGTACACACAATTTGTACAAAAATGTCACTTTCTTATTGTCAAATGTCTAAATTACCCTTAATTTGACCTTTTTGGAGCATTTAATGCTCCTTTATGATTGTTTTTCAAAACAATTAATGTTGTGATTTGATTGATTAATTTGTATATTATAATATTTGAATATATGAATATTATATTGTAAAATATGAATTTAGTTAATAAAAAATGAATATAAAATCCTTCAAAACCCTAGTTAACATAAAAAAAATTTATTATTAAACAAACCCTTATTTCATTCATCTTCTTCATCCATTTTCTTTTTCATCAAGGAGACATGATTTCATCCATCTTCTTCATCTATATTGAAAGGTCAGTTATTACGAATTGTTTATATTTTTATGTAATAGCTTACTCTTTTTAAAATGTTGAAAACAACATGGTAATCACTATTATTAATCATCACGATCTTTTTTTTAATAGTTTTGAAGGAAAAACATACCAAAAATATTTAGGAAACTGTGAAGTATTTCATTTTTAATGAAGGATTCAATCATTTAATTCTGGAAATAGGTTGTGATGTTGTAGTTGTTATAGTTGAGAAATGATTATAAGCATTAATGCTACCAAACATATTTGAAGCTTCTTGGCAGTTCCGACAATTGAACCGTCGAACTCGACATTTCGAAACTGTCGGGATCGACATTTGAAATGTCGTACTCGACATTTATAAACTGCTGGGATAGATAACTAAACTGATGAATTGGACAGCTGAAAATTCTTGACACCCTTCATTTGACCTTGTACTATTGCATAGGTTTAAATATTCGAACGTGTCACTTCTATGCTATTATATAATCGACATATTGATTGCGCATAATTCTTATCATTGCAATCTCAACATTTCAGGTCTGAACAATAATTTGAGATTCATCGTGTAGCACGGGGGAAAGTTCGTTCACGTGAATGACGAATGGAAGTGGACTGGGGACAAAATCACTTCCATTTTAGTGCGGAACAGTATTACACTACCGATGCTATTGTTATGGTTGAACGAGAAACTTGGTGTTCTCAATCCACGTACAAAAATGAAATTGAAGTTCAAAGTTCCGAACATGAATATACCGTCGGCCGAAATACTCGAAGATGAAGACGTAAATTGGTACATATCAGTTCATAAGAAAACTGCCCTCTGCGTTACGACTTTGGAAACCGGCCTGCAAGTATTGAATGGAGAGGGATACAAATTACAGCCAACAATTGTTTGCCGCAGTGGAAGATCACCAAACCTTACAGGATGATGAGCTCAATCATTAGCACAATGTCCCAAACAATAATGCAGTGGATACTCTAATTTTTGATGTTTGGACTGCACCATTAGATGAGATGTTCGACGATCTCTTACATGGTACAAATATCGGTAATATTACTGACATTGACAAAGAACTATTATCACCTTCCAAAAGTCCGGATATGTGCGACTGGATTTCCACTGTGGATACGTCAGATCTTACCGAAAGGCAATTACTTTTTACCAAGAAAGAGTTGTACTCGAGAATTCGTGTACTTGCTTTGCGAGAGAAGTTTCAATTTCAGGTTAGTAGGTCAAGCCTAAAAATGTTAACCATTGTACGCGCGGACGATAATTGCAAGTGGATGTTACGTGCGTCCAGTTTCAAGCAGTCCGCCATCTTTATGATCCGCAAATTCAACAATGTGCACACATGTTCCATAGATTATCGTTGTAATGCACATCGATATGCCACTAGTTCCATAATTGCTGAGCAAAATATGGGAAAATTGGATAATACATACGGATCGTATAATCCTATCGTTATTGCACGTGACATGGAACGTGAGTTTGGTGTGAAAATTAGTTACCATCAAGCACGTCTTGGAAAGGTAGCTGCTTTACATATGCTACATGGTACACAGAGTGATAACTTTCAAAAACTTTCTTCCTACTGTCATGTCCTAGGAGAGAGTAACCCGGGGACAGTATTACACATCGAAGTAGATTCTCGTAACAGGTTTAACTACCTTTTCCTAGCTTTCGGTGCAAGCATTCAGGGTTACCTGCACTACCTGAGGCCCGTTATTTGTATTGACGACAGTCACTTGAAAGGTACATACAAAGGTACCCTTCTACTGGCAATTGCCCAAGACGCCAACGAACAGATTTATCCCCTAACGTGGGGGATCGTTGATGCAGAAACGAATAGATCATGGATGTGAGATCTTATAGGTGACTCGGACGAATTAGTGTTTGTTTCCGATAGGAAAAATAGTATTGAAAATGCCATTGTCCACCTATTTCCTCGGGCTCATCACGGGTGCTCTGTCTAGCATATGGAAAAGATTTTAATTTAGTGGTACAACAACGCAATTTTAATATTTCTATTCAAAAGAGCCACAAGAACTTATCGAACTGAAGAGTTTGAAAGACTTATAGGACAGCTTCGTAGGGTAAGTGCAAGAGCGTACGGGTGCTTGGAGCTAGTAGGTTTCCCATTTTGGTCACTGGGACTATTTGTTGGCCAACGGTACAATATTTTGACCAACAACAACGCAGAATCTTTGAACTCAATGTTGAGACATGCCCATTCGTTACCGATCATGTGCTTAGTGGAACACATTCGGCATACTATGCAGAAGCGGTTTTATGAATGTCGAGCAAATGCAACAGCATGCAGTACCGCACTGTCGCCAACGATGGAGAATGAGTTACGGACGATGTTCGAAGTGGCACTAGGCTGCGAGCGCATGGCTTGACAGATAACTTAACAGAAGTTGGAATATCCAACGACACGGATATCATAGACTTCTCCGAAAACACATGCACTTGTCGTGAGTTCCAACTGAATCGTAGGCCGTGCATTCACGCATCCCGTGCTGCTTGCTTGAGAGGTAAGTCATTGTACGATCTCAGCTCATCGTATTATACATCCGAGTACTGGAAGGGTGCCTATGGAGAAGCTATATATCCTGTTTTGCATGAAGTGGACTGGATTATTCTAGCCGAAATTATAGGTACTCCTATTATGCCCCCCAGTGTATGTCATCCTCTAGGTAGACCACCCACATGATGTAAGTGATCCAGACACGAGTGTACCACACGGTTCAGAAAATGCACTCGCTGCGGTGGACTTGGTCATAACCGGACCAAATGTTCGAACTACACTGTACCACGTCCGATGTAAGCAGCATTTTGTACGTGAGTGGTTGAAGTTGTAAGTGAAGTGTTCCCCCGATGTCGTTTGTATATGACAATTTAAATATTGCATTACTGTTTTCATTCTCTTACGCATTAACATTACTCTTTGTTATGTTCACATTTACAGTACGCAAATAGGCACAACGTACTGCATAACAGCCTCGAACCAAGATACAATTTTGTTGTGCAGAACATTGTTGCCATTGTTGACATATGTAAATTGAATGTACGGAATAAGAAACATTCAACCATTATACAAGTTTCCTTTCAAATGTATATTACGAACACATCATTTTTAGCGCATAACACTGTCCGCAATGTTCACAAAGTACGTTGAATGTACACATGAGGTTGTGTTCGTTCACCCAAAATACATGTTATATGAATATGTATACTACATATACAGAAAATTTGCCAGTAAATCCCGATAGTTCATATGTCGTTCCCGACAGATGGTGCCTGCCATTCTCGACAGTTGTTCGAGCTCCGCTTAACAAAATACAAAATACACATAACTTGCCAACGAGAGTTTCCTACATGCTATAGAATTGGTACATACTTCACAAAATCCATACCTTACAAAAAGCACTATACATACTTACATAAAAACCCACACACGCAACAGAGCCAAACTCTTCACTTGGAGCTAACACTTGAACCTTCTTCCCCACCGTCATCATCCAAGGTGATGACAATTACCTCGGGCGATGGAACCTTACCCTGCCTCTCATCCTCGTGACGTTCAACTTCGTCTGCATCCATAAATGGGACGACCCATTCAAGCACATATTTGGGAGACTTATCTTCATCACATACAACTTCGTCCAGGTTCGAAAAGGGAACGATAGTGATTGTTCTCCTACCACCGTTCGAACTCACTTCCTCATTGTCCAAAGAAATTATGATGGGACATAGCGGGTTGAACCGTGTATTGGCAAAGACTCCTCAACTGCCAGCGGTGAATTGCTTCCCGTGGACAATACCATTGTTTTCATATGAAGAAACAGACTTCAAATATTGTGATACGTTCCTACGACAAGATGCCTCACAAAGAGTCTCATATATCCCACTTGAAGAGTGCAAGCCATGCTTTATACTGAAGGTATTTGAGGACATTTAAAGCAATTTAATAGCCAACCACCATTTTAATTCTACTTAACACTTGATTGACCATTGGTGTGATGGTTTAGTGTGATGATTAAGGTTGTAAGTTTACTTTAATGCAGTCCATAAATGGTGAGAATTATGAGTAAATTGTACCCATGTGCAAGACCTACAATGGCAACATTCCTGCAATCAATTTGAGTTAAATTACTTTATTGAATTTTTGTAGTCCTTAGTCATAACTGAATACAATTTTTAAATTCTAAATCATATGAATTGCATGAAAAATTGATAAAATTAATGTCCCTGCCAATGAAGATGAACATTGGCTGACACAACAAGCCATTTTTCAAATACACTTTAATTTGTACCAACAAGCTAATTCATACTAAAACGCATGTTGAAATAAACATACACCGGTTGTAATGTTGGGGCCAACGTCACAAATATAACACCAAATTATTCATACTACGGTAGTGCGAAATTTACAATAATCATTGTCCTCGATCCTTCGACCACACTCCATTACACACAAGATCATTACATACCATGATTCATTTGTGTAGGAATAACACCTTCAACTCCAATGAAATTAAAGTACAAAATACTACTACTTTATCAAGTAGCATGAACATCAATTTAATTAGAGTACAAACAAATGTTGTGTCTCAATGTCCGTTCCACTTAACCATATCCCAATATGGAATTGAAGTAATCTCATAACCCCCATTGAGATCATTATCCACATCACATAGAATAGGAGTAATAGTTTCCACAGTTGCACCTTCATGCATGAACCCAGGTTTGGATCCCTTTGGCTGTTTTTTGGTGCTATTCACTAAACCTGTTGATTTAGCCTCAGCCTTCATTTTGTTTGTACTCTTTATCATTCTACAAAAATTCGTCATCACACCTCGATGAACGCACATACTTAACTAAAAAAATCAGCCCTTCGAATGAATCTACTGCTTACCTGCATCAGGTGTCTGCTACAGTGAAATGACACATCAGAGATTGTTCGTAACTATCCATCCAATCAACGTAAAAATAAAAAAAATTTACTCACCCATGGAGTAGGAAATGTGCATGCAATTTAATCACCAAAAAACGAACAACCTTTTCATATATCATAAACAATACATGCCATAAATATAATGGTGAAGCTAAGATACAAGATAAGGAAGGTATTGTACCAGACCAACAGAGGCTCATTTTCACTGGTAAACAGCTTCAGGATAGTCGTAGTTTGCCTGACTATAAAATTCATAAGGAGTCCACACTCCACTTGGTGTTGAGGCTTAGTGGTGGCAAGCAGATTATTGTCAAAACCCTTACTGGGAAGACAATAACCCGTGAAGGTGACAGCTCTAACATCATTGATAATGTTAAAGCTACAATTAAGGACAAGGAAGGAATCCCACCAGACCAGGAGAGGCTGATCTTCGCTGGAAAACAGCTTGAGGACGATCGAACATTGGCAGACTATAGCATTCAGAATGAGTCAACTCTGCACTTGGTGCTGAGGTTGAGGGGAGGCATGAAGATTTTTGTGAAGACTCTGACAGAAAAACTGTCAGTTCGTATTGACAAGTCATATGATTGGGATGTATAAGAATGATAATACATGCATTATATTGTCAACGAATACACACAAACTAGATCGACAATACCATCCCTTGCTTGTACTAAACATTTATTATAGCAAAATGATATGTACTCTACATAAGACAGTTTAACGTGTAGCATATTTCATGAACAATACATGCATTATATCGTCAACACATACACACAAAATTTACTGACAATACCGTCCCATGCTTGCACTAAACATTTATTATCGTAAAACGATATATACTCTACATAAGACAGTTTAACGTGTAGCATATGACTGAGCAAACGTATCTGTCCATAAAACAAACCAAATTAAAAGCATTTCTTCGTTACGAACAGCGTATCTACTACTACAACAGACCTTACCAAACCACTTGAACTCACTTATTTCTTTACTCTCTTTGTCCTTCCCTTCGTGTATGAAGTTCGAGTAGGTGGTGCAGGACGTCGAACACGAGTCGATCGCCGCCTGTTTGTGCTATCCACATTGCCTTCCTTCTCTAGTACGGTCACCTGTGCTGACAACTCTGTGGCAGCGGTCATATAAAAAATTTCAGCATTTTAGTGAAATAGTTCTGTGTGAAGGAGGCCACATAGTCGTGGAATAAGATTAGTCAAGGAAAATAGGCACGTACTGTCCACCTCCGTGACGTCATGGGTTGATGGGCCTTCCTCGTTGTCGTCGCTGGGGAGGGTGGGGATGGTCTCTCCTGGGTCTAGTTGAAAGAAAATTTGGTGAAATAGACAAACACAAGATATGAATTATCATTTGCATGGGGGGAACTGATTGGTAATAGAACCTAAATCACAGAAGTTGGAAAAAATTATGCACGTACCGTTTACCTCCCGCATGTCACCCTCCTCTGCATGGTCGTCGTCCTGTGTGTTCCATTCATCTCCGCCTTCCCCGTCTAGTTGGAAGACAGAGAAAATTTAAGAATGAAATTGAATACATATGCATATGACGAGATGAGATGACAGAAGTTGAAAAAGTACGCACGTACCATTCACTTCATGCATTTCACCCTCGTCTGCATGGTCGTCGTCGTGTGGGCTCCATTTGTTACTGCTTTCCCCAGCTACTCGACAACAAAGTAAAAATTATTCAATGAGTTAAATTTAATACATTTGCATATCACGAGATGAGATGACATAAAATACAAAATTTACGCACATACCGTTCCACTCTTGCATTTCAGCCTCCTCTGCACGATCGTCATCATGTGGACTCCACACGTCGCTGCCTTGCCCATCTAGTTGGAAACCCAAAAAAAATTTACTGAAGGATTGAAATTCAATACAGTTGGATATCACGAGATGAGATGACATCGAAGACTAATCTGTGTTAGACATAACTAACCGACATAAATTTAATACATTTGCATATCACGAGATGAGATGACATAAAATACAAAATTTATGCACGTACCGTTCCACTCTTGCATTTCAGTCTCCTCTGCACGATCATCATCATGTGGACTCCGCACGTCGCTGCCTTGCCCGTCTAGTTGGAAACCCAAAAAAAATTTACTGAAGGATTGAAATTCAATACAGTTGGATATCACGAGATGAGATGACATCGAAGACTAATATGTGTTAGACATAACTAACCGACATACCATTCATCTCCAAGTTCTCGATAGGCAAAGGATGGCCATCGTCATCCGGGCATAGGTCCATGTCGCCTCCATCTACATTTAAGTAATTTGACAATTTAAAAAATACATTTGTAAGCGGACGCATAGGAAAAATTGCACAGTTCTACAGACATGTTGTAAGTGGAAGTTACAGTAACATAAACTCTTACCTTCGTGGGGGTCGTCCCAAATATGTGGCTCATTCATAGCAGGAGCTGCAGCGGAAGTAGAGGTGCCACCGGACGGGGGCACCAAGGTAGATATGAAGTCCCTCAGTCTGGCGAACTCCTCGGTCACGTGCTGCATGATTTCAAGCTTCACGGTCCGCAACCTCATCTCGAAGAGGATGCACTGGTCCAACAACATGCCCTCCACGTCTTCCATCGTCACAGTCGGTCCACCACGCCTACCTGATAGCCCAAATGTCGACGGCCCAACCATTGGAGTGGGTAATGCACTCGACTGCCATCCCGAGGCATCCTCGTCGTCCTCGGTGTCACCACCACCGGTCTCGCTGGAGGTGTCACCACCACTATCTCCATTGTCATTAGCCTTAGATCCATCGTCCCCGTTGCCTTCCGATGTCTGACGGTCATCGCTCGTGAATGTCTCATCATTCTCGACCCCTGCACTGGACTCGTCGTCATGGCCGTCACCCGCAGTGCTACCCTCATGTACCCCACTGGCCGATGCCGCTCATGGAACTGTGGCCCGACAACACTCCTAGCGAGGTCGTCCAAAAATTACACCGGACGATTAGAGAACGGCACCAAACAGGCTATGTATTACAGATCACGCTCGACCTCTGTGGGACGCAATGTGGCGTGCACGTGCAGCTGTACCAATAGGGGAGAACGGGTAGTTCAAATATATTGCATACTATTCCTAAGAAAACAAAAGAATTGAAAGGCAAATGAAAAATGTCCATGACCTGTACGTCCCTGAAGAACGCATCGTACGTACGCTGCTGCGATTGTTTCGTAGAGGTCCAACATAGAAGTAGGGGCGATCGTTCACCCACCCACTCACCAAAGTGCTCGCCGAGTTCAGGCATGGCCTCAAATGCCCAAATCTGTCCGGACGAAAACAAAAATTTGGACGAAAACAAAAATATTGTTGCATAAGTGTCCATCCAAATAATGTACGTTACTCTTCGAATACTAACAAACAAAACACATGAACGTAACTCTGTTCGTCCCTGCATGACGATCGAAAATCCGTGAATTGTGTTAATGACGTCCTTTTCGTTCTTCATCTTTGCATCACTCATTTTATGTGCCCAAGTACCTCGGAATCCCTTCAACAAATGGCTATACCCCACTTTGGCACAGGGGTATGAAAAACACAGCTCCAAGTCGTTGACGAGAGAAAGCGTATCCTCATCAATGCTAACATTATTATCCGGAGCAGTGATAACTCCTTCCACAATCAGAGCAAGCCCGAGCTTATATCTATATACCCAGGGTGTCGACGCGCGGACAAAGGTCTTCTCCAACTGGGCACATGAAATCTTGTTTAGCGATTTGAAATACTTTTTCTTTAGCTTCTTCTTCTCCAATGCTTTGCTCAACTGATCGCCCTCCGAAAACGAGCCAGCATGCAGTCCAATGATGATAGCATACTCCTACAGTCCAAACTGGATAAGGTGGCCCTGCACGTTGAACCACAACTCGTGGGACTTATCGCAATGGATCCCTCGGCACACAAGGGCCTGGATTATTTGAGCGGAAAATTGGATCTCCGGAACGTCAGCAAGAAATCCAAGGCAGCAGTTCCGAAAATCATCTCGCAGTCGGTCGTTGAAGCAATCCATCATCGTTTTAATGTACTTGAGGTTGCTCCGTTGCGAGATGCAAGTGGGCAACCGTACATTCTCTGGCACCCAAAATTGAAATTCCATCTGTTCTACACATGAAACGATAATGGTTAGACCATAAATCAACACCAAATGAATATTTCAAAGAACAAGCGTACTTCAGAAGAGCATACAACCACATCAATCGGAACAAGTAATACGACAAACGTATAAGAACAGATCATCTACCCAAATGTATAAGAACAGATTATGTCGAATTGTGCATGCAATGTTGAACTCAAAAAAAATGTTACTAACAATATTTTGAATGTGCAAAAATACGTGCGGCATTGAGATATGAATGTTCGACATACAAGTTATTTCAAAACGCACGTGCAATGTCGTCACTGTCCACAGTCATGTGTCGAGACACTGTCATCGAAGTCTCTGTCAATAGATGACTGCACTCGTCTGGCAGGACAGTGCCATTTCTCATCTATCAGGAATGCCTGCAACTAACTGTCGTGAACGACAGTTCATCTGTCGGGATTCACCCAATTGTCAAGAATTACAGCGGTCAAATGTCGGGAACGACAGTTTTCAACAAGCACATGTGATACGTATGCATAGTGCCCCAACACAAGAAGTTGGTACATAACAGCGGAAATCCAGTCATCACAGTCGAAAAACAATTACAAGTGAAAACAAACACCCTCTAAATCCCTTTCTATAGGATGTCTTATTACACTGTCGTGTTGCAAATGTAGCATATGGGTTCTAAGGTACATATTGCAAAAGAGTTCACACCATAAGTATAATTCATCTAATAACCATTTACAAACTTCCATAAAAAACTAATCTGTGAACACTGTTGAAGAGTATTAACAACCTACGCACAAAAGGATGGGTTCGAAATGAAATGAGGGAACTACACATGTACTCTATAAATGTAAACAATTTGAATAAATGTATGTCTGCCTGTCCATGTCCACAAATATTGTCCTAACTAACAACATTTTAAATCGAAAATACATTATATCAAACCCAAAATTAATCAGGCACGACCTCAGTTTCCATATTTCTCACCCACTGCCATTGCTAACCACCCACTGTCCACAACAAAATATTTCCATTACATCAACTAACACCCCAATGCAAGATACCGTATGTCATGTAAATAATTACCACGACAAATATTTCTCCTTCACACAAAACGAGTATAAAATACTACTGTTAAACAACCAACAGCAACCAACACGCATGACTTAAAACTGGAATCTGGGACCGAAGAAAATTAAATAGAAAACCTAATTCATATTAACAAATAGCAAAATTTAACGGTTACATTAATATAACATCTTTGAAAATTTAAATAAATAAACCCAATGATTTAACAAGAATAAATAAGCTCTATATTCCTTGCAAAATTAATTCCAAAGATAAATTCAAAAAATGGAATACTTTTTACACAATGTTGATTTGCAATTGCACAGAAGATGAGATCCAAAAAGCGGTGGGCGATTCCTCCAATGCTTCCAATATCGTCGTTGGCCGGAGGCAGGATAGATTTCCGTCACGGAGAGGAGTTAGCCGGCGGTCGATGTAGTGAGAGAGAGCAGTGTAGGTCCTGTGATTTTAGGGGCATAAGGCGAACTCCACAAATTAGGCCCCTTCCAAAAAATTAATATCGTACATTCAAAATTGATAACAGTATTACAAAACTAATTGTCAACTTGTTAACTTAAAACATAACAGTAAAATTGATAATAAGAAAACATTTCAATAATCTCACAATGAAAATTTTCAACATAATCACTACGTGCATCTCTGCAAATTATTATATGATTAAATGCTACCAAAAGTCCATATAACCCCACAAAGGTACATTCTTGCAACGCAATCATATAAGCCGACAGTATTTCAAACATTTCCTATACGTTCATAAATAAGCAAGCACAAGTACTTGCTTACCTAACAAGTACGACTCAGCAAAAATTGTTAAATGACACAATTCAACACTTTGAGAATTCCATCGTCACAACTCACAATCATGAAATCAAAAATTTTAAATGTGAAGGATAATAATTATTTTCTTTCTAATATTTCACGAAACCCTCTGTTTGGAACACGTTGAACACCATATCTACTGTCAAAGCTAATTTAAAAGACAAGCACACAGATGAAACTACATGAAGCAATCCGAGGCCAAACAAGATGCAGTAAAAGAAAAGAGACTGCACCAAATGTTAGATTTAATCCCCTCTAAATGCTCCACTACTGATTCAGTTTTAATTTAACCCTTTCCTTATTGGTCATTAACTAATCATACAGTTTCAACATGCTTTGGACGTGATTGCAATGTCTATCTTCTATGAGAACAAGATAAATTTTAAGCTTTGAACAATGAAAAGTCTAACATATAACTTCCGAAAATGATCAAGCTACAAACATATCTAAGGAGTATTAAATAAGTGAAACTTCCATTCAACTACAAACTTCTCCGAATACTGAGCAATATTAGCAACAATGATCACTTTATAGCAGCAACAAATTCAAATTCAGGTCATATGTCATCAAGTAATATTGTGTAAATTTTCATCTTTACTGGGAGTAGATACAATGAAAATTCTTACAAAATTCAAAAGCAACTGATGTGATTTATATAGCTTGACAACCAAAATAATGAAGAGAGAGTCAATTATGTTGAAGCAAAGGAAGATGAAGAATTGTTATTGGCAACCAAACAAGAAAAAGATAAACAATCATAGTACCTTGACATCGGCCATTAGCACTTAGAAATCTATCCAAATTGATGATAAACATAAATATTATTGTCTCTTGAACACTTTTTAGCCTTTAAGTAGTAGGATTAAAATTTTAATTTTAATTTAAACTAAGAGTCAACAATTCATTTAAATCACGTATTTTATGGACTTCATAATTTCTCAATTACATATTTCATCAGTACTATCAAAATCTACTAAACATTTGAAAATTAAAACGTGACCTCGATTCTAATTGCACACAGGGGCCTCTCATGTCCCAAAAATAAAACACACCATCTTATTAAGGAAAAATAAATTCCCCAAAATCAACCATACTTCTTCTCTCTGCCGGCGCTAGTGCCTATCGATTTTCGCTGTCGATGTCCCCTTCCAGTAATAGTTTGTAAAGCCATGCATTTATTCCAAACCGTGACAACAACAAAGTCAATTTGGGGGATGACAGTGGGAGTCTCTCCTACACTACTGAAGCTACGATCATATTATTGCTATTCTTCAATATGGAAATGCAAAGTCCTCGTTCTGTTTCTAGAGACTGAACTGTGACGAAAAGGATTACGTACTTGAAATCTAATTGTATTATGCTTTGTGCTTCACATTCATCCAACGAAAAATGACAGGTTTACGAAGTGCAATACATAATCCATCAAATAAACACCAAAAACAAAAACGCATAAATTTTTTTCACAAAAGGCAAAAACAAAAAATGCATCCACACAAAACATATTACCGTATGTATGAGTACTCTGGGCAGTTAGTGGATCACAGCTACATATCGACGCAGTGACAAGATTAGGCTTTAGGTTTCTGTTTTCGGTGAGAGGACTGTTCTTACAGTTTTAGGGATTCCGTTTTCGGTGAGGGAGACGAGTTCGCAGACATTATGCGATTTCGATGGTCAGACTATGTTTCACAGTTTCATGGATTTCATTTTTGGTAAAGAAGACCAGTTCGTCGGCTCGGTGGTCGGTTTATCCAGAGAGAGGAGTGGATTTTCGCGATTTAGGGATTTGGTATTCTCTTGCTTTCCTTTCGCACTCACGACATTAGAGATTTAGGGATTTCTCTTGGGACGACAATAAAGAATTATGGGATTTAGAGAATTTCTATTCGGACAGCAGTAAGAAATTTAGGGATTTCTCTTGGGACGGCATTAGGGATTTAGGGACATGATTTCGTGTATGCTCTGCTTTTTTTAGTTGTAGGATTTAATTTTTGTCTGACCAATTTTGTACAATTTCTTTGATGGTCAAATCTCATTTACTTAGGACATGTAGGATATTTAAAATTACCTTTAACGGCAAATACGTCTAAAATTATGTTAAATTGACATTCTTGCAATGTCAAAAAAAAGTGACATTTTTGTAATTACAAAGAAAAAAGTTGACCATTTTGATAATTTCCTCTAAAAATATTTCTTATCGCATTTTTAGAAGCAAACTCACTAACTAAACTTTCGTAATCAATATTTTCTAGAAAGTCTTGCTCAATAGATATCAAAACTAATCCATTCAATCGTTCGTGTAACATGGTTGATCACAAATAAGATTTTAATAATTTCAATTTTGAAAAAATTCTTTCAGCAGATGCAATAGAAACAAGAATTGTCAATAATATTCTATAAGCAATACATGTATTTGAAAAGCAATCAAATCTTTTCAAATAAGGCAATATATCAAAAGCCGTCTTTGTTTCTTTTGGTAAAAAATTTCACAAAATTTTTAACTCTTTTCAATAAATCTTCGCCATCAAAATCACAAAAAATTACATGCCTTAAAATAATATCAAGATAATCACAACATGCTTTCAAATTAGATTCATCCAATGAGTTTAACTTGTTAGGAGAAAATAGAAATCCTAATTTTTTTTTTCATATGAATTGAATTGATCAAACATTCGTTCAAGTGATCAAATTACTTGATGATTAGTGTTTAAAAGATATATCATTTACAAGGCATTTTATATTCACTTTGGTTAAAAACACTAACATTAGTCTCTAATTTCAATTCTCTTGCCGTAAATTCAATTTCCATAAATACATGGTTAAAAATGTAATTAATTGAAATACGTATTTACATACATGTCGGTATGAGTATTATACATTTGACAGAGTATTTATGTGATGTATTTCACATGTATTTTCAATTTAGAACAAGTGGAGTAAGTGGAGGAAAAAAATGTTGAAAAGTCAAGAATATTGACTGTCTCAAGCAAGAAACAGTTGTCGGTAAAATGATCATAACTTGAACTGCAGACATTGAACCGAAGTGATTCAAGTTGGGTTGGAAAGATAAGATTTCTACAACTTTTATGTTTTGCAAGAAGTCAAATTTATATCAAAAGACAGCCAAAATTACCGTACAAAATCAAGCTTGTTACCTGCCAGATACAACTTTTCTACTTGTGAAGCAGTACTAATTATTTTTGTCATATCTAGAGTTATTTAGATCCAATGAACCTAATATTTATACCAATGGAAATCTAACTCAAGTGGAAATAATTTATCTGTTGATCATAAGTCCAAGTTCTCTACACAAAGTATCTGAAAATTGGCATCAAGTTGCATGTTCTAGTTGTATTGAAGCTGGATAGAAACAAGTTGCATTGCCTACTTGCATTTTGGATGTTCCTTTCCCTATAAAAGGGGACCTTGGCCACGATTTTGAGAAAATCAATTCCTCTCCATCATATTCTAGTTTTCTTTATTTTCTTTATAACATTTTATTATATATTTCTAAACCATTAGCTAGAGTTAGGGGTGAAACTTTGGTGAATGTGTAGTATTATCTTTGATCTTTCACTTTCTTCTTCAATGTTCATCTTTTTACTTGGTTGAAGTATATGTTCTACAAATAGTTTTGGTTTGTTAAAGACTTTAATTTATTGTTGACAATTTTGGCACAATAAATGCTTAGATAATCTCTACATTTCAACAACTTATTTTGACATATTCTCTCAAACAATATCAAGATTTATCTTTTAATATATTTGTGATTAATGTTTTATCTTCTATCTGATTGATTTTCATATGAGTTAAATTAAAGATCAAGAGCAATTTCTACTTATTTATCCCAAGTGAATCCGTGACGCTCTAGTGCTGGTCTTTGTCGTATTTCCACCAACCGTTTATTACTCATAGAATAGTTTATTTCCTTCCAATTCTCTGTGGTTCGACCTCGGACTTCCGAGATTTACTATTTGCGACAACCTGCACTTGGGTTTGCAACCTTAAAGTTGTAGCAAGTTTTTGGCGCCGTTGCCGGGGATTTGCGTCAAGAATTATTTTCTGCTACTTTCTGTGAGGTTTTCTTCTTTGTCATAATCTTCATGACCACCAGCAATAAGCCCTACTTTGTGGAGGTTTGTATCAATTTAATTATATAGGTATTTAGTTTCGACATAGTGGGATTTGAAGATCTAAACGAAATTGTCTATTCTCGTCTTTTTCATATGTGCATTCTATCATTGCAATGGAATTGCTCTTCCTCGTCATTATGGGATTTGGACTTGAGTTAATAATCAAACTACAAAATCATTTCTTTTAGTCGTTTCATAATCTTTATATGAAAAGATAAAATTAGAAACATTCTTTGACATTAAAAATTACACTATCTTTTAGTTTTTAGTATCATATACACTCTGGTGATACTTAAAATGCCTTTGTGAAAAAGAAAAAAAGGCAAAAAACAAAAAACAAAAAAAAAAAAAAAAAGAAAAAAAAAAAAAAGAAAAAAAAAAAAAAAAAAAAAAAAAAAAAAAAGAAAAAGAAAAAAATAAAAGAATAAAAAAATAGAAACATGAAATTTTCTACGCTCTACCATTAGTTGCAAATTAAATTTCTCTCTTAATATTTAAAGACAACTCATACATAATTCTGAATATGCATAAACCTAAAATTTGTTGAAAAAATAGAAACATTTTTAAAATTTTTTTTAATTAATTGTATATATCTTATGTGTACATAATTTAAATGTTTTCATACTTGTAAATTTACACAAAAAAAAAAAAGATGCTCTATATAAATAAATGTTCAACTATGTCAAAAAAGCTCTACGTATAACGTGATAATGTATATTCTTTTAGTTTACCATGAGCAAATTAACTAAAGCTAATGTAGAGTTTTACAAGGTTAGCGGGCAAAATTCGACCACACTAAAGTATAGTAGGCAATCAAAGACCCTTTTAAAAGTAAATTGAACAACCAAAGGCGTCTTTCTTAAGTGTCAATTTATATAACAATGTTTGGGCATCACATGTACATTCTATCTACCATGTCACTAATTCCATTAGAATAGTGAACCAGATGTCATGCTGGGGGTAACATTCAACATTTTGATAAGTTAATAATTAAAACTTGATATTTGAAACTTTAATGAACAATCGAAAATATAGATATAAGTTTATTGATTA